ACCCCCCTCTACAAAAAGGGGCAGAAAGACAAACCCGGAAATTACAGGCCAGTCAGCCTAACTTCGGTCATCGGAAAACTACTGGAGTCCATAATCTGGGACAGAATAAATCTCTACTTAGAGGAACACGAGGTAATTAGAGACGGCCAACATGGATTTGTTAAAGGCAAATCTTGCGACAGGCTAGATAGGGAAAAGCTGTTTCCGCTGGTAGGTGTGTCTGTGACCCGTGGTCACAGGCTTAAGATATCTACCAAAAGAAGCAGAGGGGAGGTTAGAAGAAATTTTTTTCACTCAGCGAGTTGTTCGAATTTGGAATGATCTGCCTGAAAGGATAGTAAAGTCCGATTCGATAACAGTTTTTAAGAGAGAACTGGATAGGTATCTGGGGAAGACGGGTTTGCAGGGTTTTTGGGGAGAAAGCTGGTGATTGGGGTTAGTGAAAGTGACTTGCTCTGTCAAAGAGCCGGCACAGACTCGATGGACCGAATGACCTCTTTCTGTGCCGTAACATTCTATGAATCTATGAAATCTATGAATTATTATTAGAATTATTATTATTTTGTTACGATTGCCACCTGGAAGCAGATTCCCTCTGTGTACTGACTCTGACCAATACCTGCTCTCACCTTCAATTACAGCATGTCTTCTGTTAGTTTCCCTACAGAGGCTCCCGCCCCTCAATCTCAGATGTTTCTGAGTCCCTTTCCCCACCACATTTCAGATGTGTGCAATCACACACAATCTTCTCCTGTGAAATATTTACATCATGTTTTTTTCCACCCTGAAATGTACTGACTCATTTTGTCCCTTGAACTTTTGCTGCTGGACATTAACAATTTATAGCTACTTAGGCATGGCAAAGGTTCAGCTTCTCCAGCAGAGGAGATGCCAATTATTTCAGCAGAAGAACTTCGTTGATCCTTGATTCACTTTTTGACATTCAGTGTAGCGCTGTGAACAAACCTGACAGAAGAACCAAGTCATTAATGGTGGGAGATTCAGGCTTAGTGGCTGAATTACGTGCCTGTTCTGGACAGTGAAGAACACAATTGTTCAGTCTGCAGTCCAAAAGCACCTCACCACATGGTGCCAGCATTGGGAGGCCCAGAAAGACACGACTGTCTGACCGAAACAATAAGAGCAGAACTGGAAGGAACAGGCTTCCTTTATAAGATTTCGACACCGGACATTGATAGATTGTACAGTGCAGAATTCCAACATAAGCATGTTTTTATTTTCACCCGTAGGCTCATTACGGGCAACCTTGGATCTGTAGCTGTGTACGTCAATAGCTCAACGGGTCTACCTTCTTATGGTGAAAAGCAGCTGAACTCAGATTTTGAAAGGCATACCATACTAGTTACAATACAATATGTGTTGATATTGCATCATTTATGTCAGGAGGACATCTAAAAGCACTTATCATTGCTGGGGAGAAGGAGTAGCTGCTGAAGAGGGTGGGGAGGGCAAAGATGGCCAAAATGTCTGAGAGGTAAGTTGTGAGGCGGTGTTTGAAAGTTTGGGAGCTGGGAACGGTGTGGAGGGAGGGAGATCCACTATGGAGTCCCATAGTGTAACGGTTAGCGGACTCGCCTCACAACGAGAGTACCTGGTTCGATTCCCTGGCAGGGTGAAATCTTAAGACACGTTTCCTTACTCCACACCTTCTGTTTACCTAACAGTAAGTAGGAACCCGGTTGTTAGTCAATTGGCAGATTGCTTTCTGGGGATAATAACCCCTAAAATAAAATGTTAATAAATAAAATCAATCCACTACTGTTTGTGGGACACCTGCTGTGTGCAATTGGCTTCACCCACAAAGTACACAGTCAAGTCTTTTTATAATATATTCTGTGAAGTGCTTTGAGATTTCTCAATAACATGATAAGGCGTTATATCAAATGGAAGGATTATTATTGTACAAATTTTACTGCCACTAAAAAATTCACAGATGCCTGCTGATTTACAGCTGCATTCTTTTGATGATGTTTCAAAGCCTTGCGGGCTGAATCTTTCTGTGAAAGTGTGTGAATAGTGCAGGGTCGTGCAGCACTCTGGAAGTGTACAGCTTATCAATGGGGTGAAACTAAGATGCTAAATAAAGTTCAAATCATCACTCAAAAAAGCGAGGAAAATTTGATCCGAACAGCAATGCGGGAAGAGGGAGGGGAAGGAGCGAGGGGAAGAGGAGGTACCTAATATAAATGACGGCACCTCCATAACCAAACACTCCTCCAACATTGCAAAGGCATGTCGCCATGGAATATAACCTCAGAGGAGAGACTTCTACCAATTCAACCAGGCTGACACCTAAAAGTAGAAATAAATACTAGGCTGAAAGTATTGCAGGAAAATGGAAGCATATTACCCGCCTGTGAGAACTCTTGGGCACAAATAAACTAATGTGACAGCTTCAACAACAGTCCCCACAGCACTAGGAGCAGTTCTGTCCCAGGGCTGGTTCTTATGCTTCCAGATCTCATATTCAAAGGTTTTCTAACTTATTTTTGTCCAAGCAGTTTTTGCTTTGTGACAATTTTTCAAAGGTCAACTCTGAATGGCAACATTGCTTCTGTTATCTGAATGGAGGCGACTGTCAAAGTGTCATCGTTCCCCTATTCTTGCAGTCCGTGGTAATGTGTAAATAATGTGTATATATATATATATATACACACACTAGCTGTACCCAGTTTCACTTGCAACCAAAGGATCCAACATGGAATGTAGATTGACACGCAGACAGACACACAGACAGACATTTCGATTTTATAAGCATGCATGGATTATTATTATTAATAAAATTATATACATAAGGAACGGGAGAGAGGGAGAGGCTAAACTCCAGAGGGGGAGGGGCTAAACCCCGGCCCCCAACTCGAGCCCCAGGTCACGCCCTCCCCGGCTGGTCGCTTCTAGGCTGCGGTGTGGAGGAACCCGGAAATCCAGCGGCCTTACCGAGCCAACCGTCACCCGCCACCGGCCCAAATTTGACGTGGCAGAGTCCAGCCCGAGGCTGCCCAGGAACAGCAGGAAAAGCAGCCGAACGGCTACCATCAACGCTGCTCGAGGTAACTGCCACCTCACCACCACCATCTTATTCCCGCCCCTTGGCTTAGTCTGAGCTCGTGCTGCGTGTGTGCGTGCTCTGTGACGCACGATGCCACAGCGCCACTGTCAGGTGGCGCGGCCACCAGGTGTAACTGCAGCACATACATGTGTAATGAGCTTGTCTAGGTCATAGCTCATCAAAGATAAAAGATACCCCAAAACAAATAAGCCCATGACACTCCCAGTTCCAAGATCTTTATGATAAATCATGTCTCTACGTCAATCGGTTATTGAGATTTTGGCTGATACACACACACAAATATTGCTTTATTAGTATAGAAACCAATATAATATTACTTAAGTGAAATGGGGAGGCATCCTCCGCCTCCTTTAAATGGATTCTGTTGCAGAAGCTGCTTGCAAAAGACTTCGCAAACAGAGTACTTAAGGTCCCCGACTTGCAGCAATGTAAAGGTCCAGGGTTGTTTGATTGACAGTCAGTTAACAAGCTGCCTGGAGAGTGGAAGGACACGTGGGCGCTGGCACGGGAAAAAGCCCTCGCATTTGGATCATACGGTAGGAGGAGCCACACGCCTATAAAAAGCAATGCTCTTGCTCCTCATGGTCGCTAACTAATGGTCATCCTCCTGTACGTACTGACATGTACAGGACTATTGTACCATCGGGTTGGTTTAAATCTATTTTACTAATGTCGTATTGGACTGCAAGTTGATATAGTTATGTGTGATAGTTACGTTTGATCTCATTGCTGTATATCTTAAATTGTTGTGTTCCTTAACGCAAGGTAGCCTATGGTTGTTTCTACCGAATGTATCCTTGAGTCTCTGTAATATTCTAAAACAAGAAAAGGTGTAAGCACTTCAGAGAGTAGCTGTTGACTTAGGAGTTCTGCTAGTGCGAGCAGACTCCGATTAGACATTCCAGTTACCAGACATTGGAGTTAACCGGGAATACTGATCTGTATGTGACTCTGACTAGTTTGAGTCATCTTCAAAACAGGGACTCACACTGACAGAGAGAGCAGAGGCCACTTAGTACAAAAGCATTACTAAAGTTTGCACATACATCAAGGAGTGAGAACTGTCGCAAAAGGATTAAAGTGCTTACACTGAGAGCTCAGCAGAGAGTTCTCTCATCCACTTTTCCAGCAGTTACTTTTTCTCATCAAGAAAAATCAGGAGGCGGGTAAACCTTTCACTATCAGGAAGAAACCGAGATTCCCACACTTAACCTCTGTTGGTCTCTGGTGGAGATTCCTCAATCGCCACATCTGGGCCTTTGCCCATTTGGTTGGCAAACTGCCTGAATCAGCCTGGTTGGGTCCAAAGTCTTTGAGGTGATAGATAAGATAGCTTCTTCTGAGTCAGAAGGTTATGAATTTGAGTTCCCACTAGGGCTTACTGGTGTGCATCCACAGATATAAACCATTACAAAAACTTTCCTGATTTCGCTCATGTGGTTCCAGTGCATCTGATTTACTTTGGACACTGCAGTGAGTTACATAAGCAACAGAAGAGCCAACATTATTATTAATTCACTGATTGCTGAGGGATGGACACACGTATATCATTACTGAGATCAGGAATGTACATCATCACTGAGGCTGGTAACATACATCACTGAAAGCGGTCATATATCTGGCCAGTAGCATTGTTGCTGCTTTAAACGATTTACTATATTGCACTGACATCACAAGAAATGGCCTCTCCACCCATGTGTAATGATACTTTCCTCTTCTCTCTCCCGTCTCCCATGCCTCATGGTCAATATGAATGCCAGCTTTCCTCACGTGTAAAATAGTTCCCAGTTCCAGCAAAACCCAAGAAACAAATCACTCAATTATTAGGACAATTGGATCCTTTGCCCAACACAACATAGCAACACAGCCTGAAGTGTGCAGGGTTATCTGGAGGATGGTAATGCGGTACCTTGCACTTCATCATTTTGGTGACTCTCTCCTGCACCGACTGCCCAGTCTTGGGCCTCACAAGCATGTAGATGGCTTTGACGTCAGGGCAGGATCGCAGCAACTTCTCCACCAGCACCTTCCCCATGAAGCCTGTGGCTCCTGTGATAAGCACGTTTTTCTCTGCATAGTACATGGCGATTGCTGACATCTTGGTCGTCATTTTTTCCCCACTTTCGCAGTGTTCCTTGATTGAAAAACAAGGACAAACAATTAATAAATACGCTTTCTGGATCCCTGAAAATTGCAGGGGCAGCACCAGTCTTTGGTTCATGTTTGGCTTTCACTATGTTTTTACACATTATTGTATTCACTTGGTCATTCACTTCATGGCTGTTTGTGGGATATTGCTGTGCACAAAATATGCAGTCACAACCCTTTATAGTAAATTCTGTGAATTTTGATGTCAACGTGAGACGTTCTGTACCCTGTATCTTAGTGTGGAGCTTGAGTCCTGTAGCTCAGCAGTTAGAACAATCACCTCACAAGCGAGAGGACCTGGGTTTGATTCCCGGGCAGGGCGAAACATTGGGCAAGTTTCCTTAATCCACACCCCTATGTTCACCTAGCAGTAAGTAGGAACCCGATTGTTAGACAATTGGCAGATCGTTTTTCCGGGGGCAATCCAGCGCCTTGGGATGTCCTCCTGATGTAAAAAGTGCTATACAAATGTAATCTTGTTGTAATAATCCCTTAAAACAAATCTAACAAAAAATTATGGTTTGGTCACCGAATCCATGACTGTTTGTGGGACAATGCTGTGCACAGTTGGTTGCCGAGTTTCGCCCACAAAATGTACACTCGGTTCACTTTGCAATATGTTCTGTGAAGAGCTTTGAGAGGTCTCGAAGACGAGATCAGGTTCAATATCAAATGCAATGTTTATTATTATATCCTCTTCAACCGCGCCTTCGATCACCCTCCTACCCCTACCCTATCTCCCCTCTACCCCTCCTGATCCCAACCATTGCATAGGTCCAAATCCTTGACTTGTGCAGCACCTTGGGACATTCTCCTGACATGAATGACACTATACAATGTAATTTGTTCTTGGAGGTGGTGATACAGTGGATAAACCGAGAGAGAGAGCACTAGCCAGGCACCATTTGCAGAAACTGCCAGGTTGCTTCTGAGAAGTGGCTGGTTATTTTTAACTAGTTGTACCCGTTACAGCTTCGCTTGCAACCAAAGGATCCAATATGGAATATAGATTGACACACAGACAGATACACAGATAGACATTTTATCTTTATGTAATAATAATATAATCGTTGCATTTGATATAGCGCTGTTCACGTCTTCTCGACGTCTCAAAGCCCTTCACAGAATAGACTGTAAAGTGAATTGACCGTATATTTGTGGGCGAAACGCAGCCAATTGCACACAGCAGTGTTCCACAAACAGTTGTGAATTGAAAATAATCAATTTATTATTGTTTTTTGTGTTTTGTATTATTAGGCATGTGGAGTAAGGAAACTCTGCGCTACCTGGACTTGAACCCAGGTTGCATGGCGAGTGCTCTAACCACTGAACTACAGGACTCCACATATACTCAGCTGTACACTCAGCTGGGAGGACTCCTGTGGGAGGACTCCTTTCGGGAGGACCCAATGGTTGGACTCCTTTAATATATTTTCTCTCATAGTCTTTCTCAGTCTCTCTCAATTTCTCTCTGTGTCTCTGTCTCTCTCTCTTTCTGTCTCTTTCAGTCTGTCTCTCTCTCAGTTTCTCTTTGTCTCTCTTTCTCAGTCTCTCTCAGATTCTTCTCTCGTACTTGACAGTGTGGACCTCTGTTTGTGTCAGATTTTACAGATGGGCTGTGACCCCTCCGAACAACAACCCTCTATTTTATTTCAAAGTGGACACCACGCATCCCTCGGCAAGTCTTTAATGAGGCTGGAGATTTCTCAGACATCAGCAGTTTGTACAGAAACATAGATGCTGGTTTATATACAGCCAATTCCATCACAAGACACAATTAGCAATGGTTGACCGCTCTGAAACACAACTGTTCAGAACAAGTTAACTTCCTGAGCTCCTCCCCGAATGTTTATAAACTCACAGTCCTTTTTAAAAGAAGCCTGTCTCTGTGTCAAACTTTCTTCTGGACTTCACCATGTTCTCCTCATTTCCCCCTCCCACTGGCAGCAGGCTTGCTGGCATAAATTATGAAAATCCCAGGATTCTCCCGGTGCTCAGCAGAGTTCAGCTCTTGCTTTGATGCATCAACAACAACAAATTACATTTGCATAGCATACCATTCATGTAGCAAGGACATCCTAAGGCGCTGAACAGTCAAGGATTTGCACCCAAACTGGGGGTTGGGATCAAGAGAGGTGGAGGGCAGGGATGATGGGGGTAGGAGGGTGACCGAAGGCGCAGTTGAAGAGAGGGCAAGGCGAAGGCAATGTGGGATTGAGTTCCAAAGGGTGGGAGCAGAAAGGCTGAAGGCCCGATTGCCGATGGTTGGGCAGGCAGGTCGGGGGACATGGAGCAGGCCACAGACTGCTGAGCAGAGGAAGCAGACAGGTCTGTATGGAGTTAGCAGGTCATTTATATAGCACCCCTCATGCAGAGTAGCGTCCCAGAACACTTGACAGTGGCAGAGCGTGACGCCTCCGAGAGGAGGTGACCATAAGCACGGTCGAAGAGGAAGGTCCTCAGGCATGACCTGAAGATGGGGAAGGAAGGGGCAAGGCGGAGGGTGAGAATGGAAGAAGGTGGCAGAGAGATCTCGGAGGATGAGGAGGCAGAGGGAGACGTGGTCATAGAGAGAGAAGACGTTGTTTGAGACCATGACAAGTGTCTTGTCTGTGCTGTGGGCAGGGGGGAAACCAACTGGAGGAGTTTGAGGAGGGCATGGAGGGAGACGTGAGAGCAAAGCTGGTTTGCGACAATGCATTCGAAAGCTTTGGCAAGGAATAATAATAATCCTTACATTTGATATAGCACCTTATCATAACTTTGAGACGTCTCAAAGCCGAATATACTGTAAAGTGAATTGGCTGTATATTTTGTGGGAGAAATGTGACAGCCAATTGTGCCCAGCAGTGTCCCACAAACAGTCGTGGATTGAAGTGACGCATTTATTTTTTTTTGAAAGAATTATTACCCCTGGTGGAGGAGGTGATGGATTGTGGAGAACAGTGCCTTTGGGTTGTTTTTGGTTTCCAAAATAGTTTTGGAGTAATAGGCAGTTTCGGCCTGTGAGAGGGAAAGGCGATAGTTGCAAAGATCCTCGAGCCACAGCTGGCAGTAAGTTGTGAGGCTGGATTTGTGCCATCTGTGCTCAAGCATCTGGGTTTTTATTTTGAGGGAGAGGAGGTGACTGTTGTACTAGGGGGAATGGATAAATTTGGAGACAGCCTGGGATTTCAGGGGGCAAGGGAATTGAGGGTTGCAGAGAGGCGATTGTTTAGTGTCTTGGTGGCTGCATCAGGATCGCTGTGGGAGAAGAGATCTGAGGAAGAGGGACTCAGATGGAAGCTTTTTCCAAGGTCGGACAAAGATGGTGGAGGGCTTGGAAGAGGGGAGGGTGATGCGGGAGGAGAGGGACATGAGGAAATGATCTGAGATGGCCTTATCCGTGATGAACAGATCAGAAATGTTAAGGCCATTAGTGATAATGAGGTTGAGGGGGTGGCCACGGTTGTGGGTCGGGAAGTTTACGTGGAAGGTGAGGTTTAGTGTGGAGAGGAGGGCAGTGAAGTCAGAGGAGATGGGGCAAGAGGAGTTTAGGTGAAGGTTGAAATCACCCATTATGAGCAGGTGTTCAATGCAGAGGCAGATGGATGAGAGGAGGGAGGTGATGTCAGGAACCAGGCAGTTTTGGAGAACGATAAATGATGAGGATTTTCAAGGAGAGAGGGAAGCTACAAGATTAAGTGTTTAAAAGAGGGGAAGGAGCCGGAGGAATAGAGGGATAGAGCGAGGGAAGTTTGGGAGATGAGGGCCACCCCACCTCCATGTCGGTTTGGGTGGGGGGGTGTGGTGAAAGGTGTAACCAGGCTGGAGAAACTTCAATCAGGGAGACAGGGTCGCCGGGGGACAGCCAGTTTTCAGTGAGCCCAAGGTTTCAGAATGAGGTCATAAACCTTGAGGGCTTTGTTTAAGAGCGAGCCGATATTCTGGAGAGAAATGCAAGTAGGTGGGATGGTGGAGGAGGACTTCAGAGGGAGGGTCGGGAGGATTTTAGGCTCTGGGAGACAACTGACTGTGGAGAGTGGGAGAGGCGGGGGGGAGTTGGGAAGGGTAAGGATATCCATGGGGGAAAATGTTTACCTTTCGGAGGTGGGCAAGGCTGCTGTGTTGGGGAGAGTGAGTGATGGGGCAGTTAGGGTGGCTGCTTTGGGTCAACCATCACCGAGAGCGACGATAGGCCCGGCAGAGGATGCACAAGCTGGAGCAGAAGGATGCATTGATGAGATCTAGGAGAGACAGAGGGTAAGTAGGGCAGTGGGACAGAAGGACTGATTGGGAGTAGCAGAGAGTGGGGACTAGAAGGGAAGCATTTTCAGGGTCTGGGCAACAGCCACAGTGTGCACACAGAGACCGGGAGCAAGGTATTTAACGGGGCATTGTCAGCCCGTAGGCATGGTGGCCACGGGAGGCTAGAGGAGATAGTGCAGAGGGGAGAGAGTGGGGAGAGCATTCATAGAGGATGGGAAGGGAAGGAGATGAATAAAATAATACTCGAAACAAGTCAGGGTCTTATTCAGGAAATCAGCTTTCCTGGGACAACAGAGACATTTGTTGCAGCCGAAATGGCACCTCACATAAATATGTCACATAAATATGGTTGTAGCACAAATGCAGTGCAACTACAATACACTTCTTCACTGCAGCATAAATTCCACTATAGCGATCGCATGGTCGACCCTGTTCATTGTGGTGGGGCCTGAACCCACAACCTTCTGACTCACTGGTGAATTAGTTTATTGTGAGATGACATTTTTGGTGTCCGCTTGGCTCAGTGTTTGTCCCTCATCCCTTCTGCTATTTATATAGATATCTAGATGCAAGTTGTTGTTGCTGTTTGAGTCAGAAGGTTGTGGTTTCAAGCCCCACATTGGAACTCGTATTCACATTGTTTAAGCTAACACTCCAATGCAGTGCTGGGGGCATGTTGCACTGTCGGAGAAGGTTGCACCTTCGGATGAGATGTTAAACCAAGTTCCTATCTGTCTG